TTTATTTCTGTTTTTTTTCTACCACAGAAAAAGCATCCATAAATATTTTGGCACATGGGGGGACATTTTCTTTGTTCTCATTAGGGTAAATTGCCAGTAGTAATGATTTTTTAAAAAAAGTATATTACTACAATTTGTTTATATCACTTTAGTTTCTGAATACATTCCTCCCTTGGCTTTACTCATTAAACCATACTGTATATTAAAAAGTAAAGCAGATGGGGCAGCTAGGTGGTACAGTGGATAGAGTACCAGTCCTGGAGTCAGGAGGACCTGAGTTCAAATGTGGCCTCAGACACATAACACTTTCTAGCTCTGTGACCCTGGGCAAGTCACTTAACCCCATTGCCTAACCAAAAAAAAAAAAAAGGAAAAAAGTAAAGCAGAAACAAAAATGCAATTCAGCAAAACTGATTAACATCTTAGCTGAGTCTATGCAGTGTTCCACACCCTTTGCCCCCTCCACCCTTCCATTGAAGGAAAGTTATGAATTTTCTCATCTTCTCTTTGGGAACCAACTTTTGACTATAGATTTCCTTGGTAGAACTTTGTTTCTTCTTCCTTCATATGAGGAAGTAGAAAGGTGGAAATAAATGAAGGAGGTAAAGACTACTATTATGGTAGTTAAGGTAAAAAGCTGGGGTTGCTATTACAATCTTCTTACCTCTAGAGAAAGCATGTTGTTAGCAACTTTTGTTCTAAGTGGTATTTTATAGTGTTCTGTTATAATGTTGCATGAATGTATGAGCTGAGCTGACTCAAATTTGCACAATTTCCTGTTAAGTGTCTTAATAAGCAAAGTAAAGCTTTAATTGTATATCAGCTTGCTTTTCACACATTCATAACCTTTTGTTATCTAAAAACTAGGATTTGTTCTTTGCATTATAAGATATATAGAGCTTGTATTTAGTGAAAAATAGGTTCGTCCATGAAATTGAGGTTTCGATGGTCATTGTTTCATCCATTTGAATTTTAGAAATAAAGAGTTAATATCTCAATGCAGAATTTGATGAAAGATAGGACAGTTCACTTTTGAATGTTTGCATAGTGAGATTCAGGACTGTCTTTAAAAGGTTACTCAGTATTTTTTTTGTAGTTTTATTTGATTTTAGCCTGCTAGATGCCAGGAGGTATAGTAGAGTCTTCTCTACTGCATGGTCAAGTAATAACTCCTCTCCCAACAATGCTTGAAAATAGTATTAATACCAAACTACAAATTAAGGAAATTGAGAGATTTGCCCCAGGTCACACATCTAGTTAAAGTAATAGAGTTGGGACTCAAGCCCAAGTTTTCTGACTCCAGATCCAGTTTCCTAGCAACATTGCCTCCTAGAACAGATGCGGTACCAAATGATTTTATAGAGGTGGTCCCTATACATACATTGTTAGAACTGTAAGGTACCCCTTAGAGATCAAGTAGAACAACCCCCACATTTTACAGATGGGCAGGTTAAGTGACTTTATTATATAATAACTTAGCTAGGACTTTAGCCAAGGTGTAGGTTCTCTTTCCTCTCTATTCTTAAGGATCCCTTTCCCGCATTATTATATACTTATCAAATACTTATTTATATCTTTAAAAGTTGATAGGATAGTTTATGGCCCATTATCTTTGCCATTACATTCCAAAAGTATACAAAGTTTTGTCACCAGTCTGACACTAAGTAGCTTCCAACAGGCCTTCTTTAAAGGATTAATTGAACATTCTGTATGGTACTATACTGTTGACTGCCCACCACCTCACCTCATGGATTTAACCCCTGGTTAAGTCCATCTGACCCACATCATCTCAAATTATAGTAAATAATTACTCAAAGGATGGTTGGCAGATGCTTTAAAGGAACCCAGGCTCTTAGTCGCTGAACAGATTTTTTTTTTGTTTTACCCTCTCCTTAAATAGACAAAGCAGGATTAATGCCAGAAATACAACTTTCTTTCAGAAGTCTTCCTGGAGAGTTTATAGGTGCTAACCATTTGCTGAACCATGGGATTCTCCAACTTTTGAGTTTTTCCCAGCTGTAGTAGATTATTCATTCTCTTTAGAGGTCTTTATGCTTTGAATTATTATGAGTTCCAAAGGTACTTGCCTTCGTTTAAATGAACTGACAGGTTGCAAAAGGTTCACCATTGATGTAGCCAAACATTTCTTTGGGGTAGAGAAGAGAAGCTTAATTTTATTACCATGGGTCTATGAACACTTATAAAACATTTTCTATTAGCATGACTTCTTGTGTTGGGGATCTCTACATTAAGGGGAAAAAAAGTCACAGTAAATTATTGTCATTCCTGGAAATGGTCCTTCCAGAAACGAGTTGGAGAAGAAATATGGGAGAAAGTTCGCTGTTCTCCAAGCAGACAAATGCTAGTATCCAGGTAGAAAACTTAATTCTGCAGTCTTTACTTTTAAAGCCTGGCCATCAGTACAATGCAGTCTTTTCATTGCTTTTTTTCTCAACTGACAGACACATTAACCTTGATGATATCTGTGATTCCAAAGGGCTTCAAAGCAGGTTAGAATGTTCTGATGTTTTGCTATGTACTACTTTGAGTATTTTTCTTATAAAAAGAATGATTATATATTCACAGAGTAACTGATGAACAATTCAAGCAAATATGTGAAGAAAACTTACACTGGAATAAAGGATTATGATGAATTCCTCTCCTCTGGGAGGAGGCTGGTCCCCCCTTCACCCCGCCTTCCGCTATGATAATTGAAGCACTTTGTTAACTCACAGTTCTGGACTCACTGCCAGGAGACTGGATTCTAGGAGACTGACCCCCTGTTCTTCCAAGTACCTTTATGACCTTGGCCAAGTCTCTCCCTCTCAGTTTCTTCACTTGAGGAAGGATTGGACTAATTGATCTCTGAGGTTCTTCCCAAATCTAGGGTCCTGTAATTCTATGGCCAGTATTTGAAAGACAAATCTCGTTGGATAATTTGAGATTGATGTTTTTGGTTTGTGTTAAAATTACAACCTGAGAAAAGTATGAGTGGTGGAATGTATGTTTGCACTCTCCTTAAGTTTAGGAATTTTTTGCTTTTGCTGTGTTAAATGTGTTTAATTGGATAGGATAGTGGTATGAAGACATTAAGAATGCCATTTGAGATATTGTGTCTTCTAAATTTAAAGAATGTTTTATTTTTGTACTTTTGTCTATAATAGAGTCCATGCAGTTAAAACAAATCATAAAGAAGATCAAGTAAAGAATTAGCTGAAGTGTTTGGAGATGAGTGTTTCTTTGACATGATGTTGAGTTACTTTGTGACTATTCTTATGAACCTTATTCTTATTTATTAATTGGGCAAAACCCCTTGCTTCTTTCTTCCTTCCCTACCTTTTAGAGAATTTGAATATTAGAATAAATTAACAAATAAATTTGTTATTCCTTTTTTTTTTTAACAAATAAAATTGTAAATGTTTTGAGAGAGGCATCAGTGAATGAAAGGGCTGGCTTTGGAATCAGAAAGACATAGGTTGAAGTCCTGCTTCTGACACATAGCTATGCGGTCCAAGTCACTTAACTTTTTGGTGTCCCAGGCAACTTTCTTAAGATTAGTGGGTACAAATGGAGTTTCCACATTGAAAGCTGAAGCCACATCTGGATCAGCCCCCCCTCCCCCATTGAGGGAAATGAGAAAAGCTATCATCAGAGGTTGGCTTCAGGGTGATGAATTTTGGGGGCATAGTCATCGTTCCTAGTTATCAATCTAGCCATCCATAGTTTGGATTTTGTGTCAGTAGAGGAGTACCTGACCTTAGTTTTATCAAAACTAAGGATCCTCAAGGAGTGGGAAGTTCCCTGAAGGTTTTCTCTGGGACCTCATCACAGTAGATGTGGCCCTGGGCTCTTTTCTTCAGTTCTGGGTGTACTGCATTTGCCACAGCTGGGTACTCTTGCCTTGGAAGGGACTTTGTGAAGGACTGTGTGTCACAGCAAATCTGCCAGGGGAGGGCCAACCTGGTTAACTCTGGGGCTCATTACCAGGGGGGCTGAAGAGAGGCAAGTTTTTATTGACCCCAGCTATTCTTGAAAACTGATAGAAGACTTGTAGATCTACCCTGGTAGTGTGGTGAGGGAGATAGGAAGAAAATCATCATCCCAGTAGAGAAGTTTATACTCTGGTTGGGGAAACTAAACATGCCTAGGAGTACTCAAATTGAATAGTCTTAACCAACTAGGTGTGCATATGTCAGAGCCCTGGTACAGTTATTCTGCCTTAAAATATTGGAAAACTTTGGCTTTTTTTCCTTCTATTTTTTTGTGAAAATTTGTTTGGGAGGAGGCTAGTGATAGAGGTGTAAAACTGCATTCTTTCAGCTATTATTTTATGCTCTTGCCTCAGTGAAGTAGGAACAGAAGTAGGTAAAAGTTGGAATGGGAAAAAAAAGAGGTGTGATCACTCTAGTTGAGAGCTTATTTTCTGGGTGGTAAAAGAGGTTTACAATCTCAAGGATAAATATATAAATCCCTCTCCCCAGTCTTCTAGTTTTTGTACTTTAAGCAAATAGGAAATATATGAACACTTGGCGGACTTACAAGGCTCATGAATAAAAGGGGGTGGGGAGTGGGGCAGTGGTGATTGTATTATGGAAGGAATCCATCCAAGGGCAAAATTATTTTAAGTAGTGAGTTGCACATGTAAAAATTTGATAGTTTCCTCAACACATTTTAATGAATAACTTCATAAAGCAAGGTACACCTACATATGTTTTAGAATTTGTTTTCTGCACATCCAGTTGTGTATATCCAGTACTATTCTATAATTCCATATTTATCATGGTAACTTAGAATAGTAAAGAGTGCCTTCATTGTGTTTATGTTGTTTTCCACTGTTAGAATGTAAGCCGCAGGTGGGTGGAGACTTGGGCTTTTTGTATTCCCAATGCTTATTGAATTGAGTTAAATTGATTTTTTTAGTCACAGCATTGTGTGATCTAATGCTGTAATGTTGTCAACTAACTAGTTACTCACACACTGGCCTTTTCCCTTTCCTGTAGGTTCTCTGTTGGAATTCACGCCGCACATTTATGGCGATTCTGAGCGTGCAGGCAGACTTCTGCCAGGCTCAGCACAGTGCTTTTGCTGACAAGTGAGCTTGAGGCTTCTATGTGCCATAATTAACATTGCCTTGAAGACTCCGGACACCAAGATTGGCCTCAGAAATATTTGGCATATATCTATATTTTTTTCATATTGGAAGCATATTCCCTTTAACGACTCCAGCAAAATTAAGTATCAAGAAAACACAAGTGCAGAGCGGGTCTATACTTTCACCTTGCCTCACCAGTGCCTAAATGTAGGAAAGGCCGCTGAAGTTGCAGGCAGTTGGAATTTTGGAGGTTGAAGGTAACCATCTGCAGTCATTGAGGCCCAAGTTGAATCTGAATTCCAGTGGATTCTAAGTAGATCTGCTTATCCTGAAGAAACTCCTTAAGGAAGGAACAAGCTGACCAGAGAAGACACTGATCAATAATAGGCATTTTCGTGGTCTTTTTAATGTTTTCTGCTGTGAAACGTTTCAAGGGTTATTGATTTTTCCCCCCATTTTCCCATCTCTCTTCCTTAAACACACACCCACACATACCTACTCTCCCCCCCCCGCCTCCCCGTTTCTCTCTTTCTCTCCCACGAATACACACTTTTTGTCTGCCATAATGAACCGTCCAGCCCCTGTGGAGATCTCTTATGAGAACATGCGTTTTCTGATTACCCACAATCCTACCAATGCAACACTCAACAAGTTCACGGAGGTAAGAGGATGGTGCAGTCCACTTTGGGGATTCATTTTGCAGGTTTTAAAACCCATCATAGTGAATGCCTTTATAAAGAGGTCCTTGTACCACAAAGCTTTTTCCATCCATGAGGATAGCCGTAAGCCTTGTTGGACCTGTTTACAACATCATCTTGGCTTCTAGAGCTGGAAAAGGGCTCCCAGAAGGATTCCAGTCTAACCCAGTATGGCCTTTTCTAGGTCTTACTCTCAGAACAATCACTGATACTCTTCCATGTCTGCAAGTAGCAAGCAGGTCCCCTGGCCTGAAGCTCCCTTAAAACCCAAATGACTCCAGAGCTCAGGGGTAGTGTTGGGATAGAGGTACAGCACTGGGTAGTAGTGTTTGCAGAATCTTTTCCTGTTCCTCCTGAAATTGGAGCATTATTTTGATTGGCTGATTTGTTGCTAAGTTTCTGTTCTCCTTAATCTGCGTGTCTTGAATACTAGGAATATGATTTTTTTCAGTGTAGGATTTTTTTTTATTATTATAAATACAACTGCCACATGATTGAGTCTTATAGAGTTTACTATAATGGGATTTTACCTGTATTTTGAAGGGTTTTTTTTTTAAATTGCTGATTCCATAGAGTGGTTTCAAATCTCTTGGATATATACTCTAAAAATTGAGTCCATTAACCATTATAATTACACTGATTTATGTAAATGATTTACATTCCTTACAGGCTATCAGTGTTCTCATTTATTTATATTTGTAGCTCTTTAAGCTATTTTATTTGCTGTGGTATGCAGGTTGACCAGAGACCTATAGTGGAGTCATGGCATTTTAGTGACCTAAGATTTTTTAGATCTGGCCCAGTACTATCTCATGTTTCCAGTTCTAGGCTGTCTGCTTCAGAGATAGCAGAGGAACCTAATCTTAGAAGTACCCTCACCTCTTGCAGCTATTACAGCAATGGTAGCAGAGATGCCAGGTGAAATTGGAATACAGAACATATAAAGGAGCAGGGAACCAGGCTATGGTTACACTTAATGTCTTCTGCCACACCTCACAGTTTTTCTAAAGCTTAAGTAGTTTCAGAAGAATGCTGCTATAAGAAAGAGTTCTGATTAGACGTCGGGTAACGTGGTTTATAGTCTCACCTCTACTCTACTCCTTCAATAACTCTGAAGTCAGGATCGTGTCCTTTTTCGCCTTTGTATCCTTAGCACTGTGCCTTGCGCATAGTGGGACTAAGAAATAAATGGTTGTGGGATTGAACTGATCTGATCTGAATGATCTTGGGCAAATAATTTCTTCCTTCTAGGAGGCAGTTCCTTCATCTATAAAATGAGCAGGCTTGATTAGATAATCTGTAGCATTCCTTCCAGTTATCTTTTAAACTTTTGTAGTCCTAATCTTAGATTCAGATGGCAAATATACTTGTATTTGTTTTTCTTTAAAGGAACTTAAGAAGTATGGTGTGACAACTTTGGTCCGCGTTTGTGATGCTACGTATGATAAAGCTCCAGTTGAAAAAGAAGGAATCCAGGTTCTAGTGAGTGTGTAGTATTTATAATTTTCCATCATTAAGTAAATATAAATAAATATAGCATTAAATTATATAGTTACATAGGCCAGGTTTGTACTCAGCAAAGGCAAATTAGATTGCTAAAAATTGATGTTTTTTTTAAATTGCTGATTCAATATAGTGCCAAAAAATAATTTTTAGCAGTCTCATTTGACTCCTGGATTGTTATTAAATTGCTAAACTTTCAATTCATTTATTCTCTAAAAAGTCTAGAATTGTAGGGTGTTTTTACCAAATATATGTGAGCTAAAAGTCTCTATCTCAAGAAAATGAAAATTTGAATTTTTCTTTGAATATTAATAAATATGATATTTAGCTTTCATTTCTAGGCCATTGGTTTAAATCTAACTGGAAGTGATTTCCGTCAGTTATTCATAAACTATATTTGATAATAAATAGTATTTCTTCTAAGTGCAGAATTATTCCTTTTTAATTTTTTGATAGTTTGGGAGACAAGGGGGAGAATCAGAAGGATCCGAAGGCAACTTTACCTTAGAAAGTAGTCAGCGTAGATGATGACACTATGTTAGGTCTCTGAGCAGTTGTATCATGATTAGGTTTCTTTAGATAACTAAATCTAATGATATAGCATTGGCTATTACTAAACTAAAAATCAACTTCCCTTTCGCTCATCTAACTACTAATGAAAGCAGTAGCGTATCGCCTTTTCTTTATAGATTACTTAGAGTATTTATCAAGTATGTACATGGAAAGTGGTAAGGTAATGAGGACAGAGTTTTGACAATATGTTGTCACTCCTCATGAAAATTTGTCACGTGGTCTTTTAGTCTCCAATAGGAATTAAGTTGGTGTAACAGGGGTAAAGTTAATCTCTTTTTATAAGCTTTCATATGTCTGATGTGTTAAATTTAGTGCAGTATTCCAGGGATTTCGTTAATCTGGGTACTAAATGCACCAATAATCTCTTTTTTCTTTAGTATATGATCTTTTAAAAATTTATTTAAAAATTTTGAACTTAAGTGACAAAGGGCATTTCTATACATATTGCAGAACACAAAAAGGAGTGTTATGTAAAAGTTAAAATCTGTTTCATAGTGCTTGTTTTTTAAAAAATTAAAAAAGATCTTATAAATTCCACTTTAATCTCAAAACTGCCATGTTTGGGCTTCTGGCTGTTTGCTCCCCTTTTTTTGGGGGAGGGCATCACTATTGCTCTTTTTCTTGCTTAAACATTTCCCTGGTTTCAAACATCTTCCTCCCTACCCCCTGGTTAAAAACTGAGAGAAAAAAATTACCCTTGTAACAACTAAACATAGTCAAATAAAACAAAGCTGTACTGTGGTTACGTCCAGAAATGTATGTCCCTTTCTGTACCTTCTTGAGTCCATCACCCTTTTGTCAGGAGGTTATGTAATAGGCTCTCTGGAGACATTATTGGTCGTTGTATTGATGAGAGTTCTTAAATCTTTCAGAATCATTTTTCTTTATGTTGATGTTTTCCTTGTGAAAAATTGTTCTTTTGGTTCTGCTCACTTCACTGAATCAGGTCACTTTACCTAGGATTTTCTGAAATCGTCTCTGGATCATTTCTTGTGGTGCAGTATTATTTTATTGCAGTCATATAGCAGTTTGTTAAGGTGTGCTGCAGTTGTTGGGTGCCCACCTAAGAGTCTACGTCTTTTCTTTTTCACTTTTAATCAGCCCTTCAGGATCAGTAAGTTTGTTTTGCTTGGTGCTTTTCTCTCCTTGATATTATCCTTCCTTTCAACCTACGCCTCCTTCCATATCTACACTTGTTACTCTTTTTTGAGTTTTGATGTAGTTTTATACCAAATGCTGTGTGGGGGTATAGGTGTGCTTGTGAGCGTATAGCCCTCTTTTATCTAGCTCAAACAAGAATGAGGTTCAACTGATGCCCTCACCCCTTTCTCCTCAAGAATATTTGTATACACTTACTTCCCATGGATCCCAATTAAAATAACTGGTAAATTCTACCAAATTACAAAGAAATAGCAAATTCTGCCTCCTTTTCTACGAGTGTATTTCTTTTACCCTTCCTTCTCTTTCTTTTCTTAAAATCCTCAGAACAGACTCGCTCTACCTCTAGAACCCCCCCCCCTCCACCTTCTCTCCCTGCTTTGAAGATATTAAGGTTTTAAAGGGATGCTTATTTTTCCCTGTCTCTGAGTGTTGCCTCTTTACTCTGACTGTCCCTTTGGGCTTTCAGGGTTTCTGCCTTGGGGCTTTTTGACCTCTGTATACTTTTGCTGTATCTAAATACAGCCTTGCAGGCTACGCTCTTAGTTGGTTGCTCTGGAAAACTAAGTTTGGCTACCTGCCCTGGAACTGTTGGCAGGCCGCTTTATCCTCTTGTCCATGGACTTCTGGCTGGTTTTTTTGTACAGTTCTTAGGTGGAAAAAGTCACTTATTGTGGTTTCTTACTGTATTTCTTGATCCCTTTCTAGTGTGGTGCAAATTTTAGGGTTTTATCATCTTAGGTATACGTAGTTGGACAGTCTGCCCCTGTTCAGGGAGCTGTCTCAGCCAGAAGTTTTCAGTGTCCTTCTGAGTTGCCATTACTGAAAGAGGCACCCTGCATTCCACTAATGGACTCACAGAATCTTACTGGGCTTCTTTTTTTTTTTCTTTTTTTGGTGAAGCAGTTGGGGTTAAGTGATTTGCCCAGGGTGACACATCTAGTAAGTGACAAGTGTCTGAGGTCAGATTTGAACTTAGGTCCTCTTGACTCCAGTCCTCTATCCAGTGTGCCCCACCTAGCTGCCCCTTGGACCTCTTAAAGCTTTTTCAGCTTATTGTGGGGCCTGTGAAAGCTCTGAGCTCCAGGGTTACCTCTATCCCATGATTACACATCAGAGGAGACTTTATAGGAGATCTACTAAGTTACATTAGTTTGCTGACTGGTCCCCATACAGAATATTGCATCTCCTGCTCTTCTACCTTTGCATGCATGAACCCCGTCACCCCCATGTGCCTGGAATGTACTTTTCCACCTTCACCTCTTAGAATTTCTAGCTTTCTTCAAAGCATAGCTCAGTTACTATCTTCTACAAGTGGCCTTTATTGATCTCCATTCTGCCTCCTCTACCTGCCTGGTTAGTGCTTTCTCTCTTCATGAAATTATTTTGTATAACTTTATCTGTACTTTGTGTTTATTTATCTGTGTCTTGCGTATAGTAACTACTTAACAAATGTTTGTTGAATTGAATTACAGGTAAGTAGTTTGCTTATGTATTTAAAATTAGTATGTTGACGTTCAAGACTTCATTTTGGAGAATTGAAAACAATCTCTTTATAATTTATTGTGGTAGTAGTTCACATTTATATAGGTCTATAATTTTTATAAACCCCTTTGATTACCATAACATATATTGTGTAGAAAGTAAAAGTGTCAATATTCTCATTTTACAGATGAGGAAACTGAGGCTCATGGAAGAAAAATGATTTACTCAGGTTCACTCAGCTAGTAAATTTCAGGGCCTGACTTTCATTTCAGGTCTTTATTGATTCCAAGTTCAGTATTTGACCATACCATATTCTTTCTAACTTTTATGAGAATAAGTTAGATAAGCAAGATTCTGAAATTACCACTAGGATTTTTTTTACTTAATTAGCCCCAAATATACTTTTTTCCATCATTCCAAAAAAAAAAGTGATGTAGCTTTAACAGCTTAATAAACCCCCCTCCCCCCCCTTTTTTTTCTGTTCTCCATCTCTCACATCTACCTTCAGATAGCTACCACCACATTTCAGGCTTTCATAATTGGACCCTCAGCCTCTAGTCTCTCCTCTGGTGCATCCTTCACACAGCTTCCAGAATGTCTTTCTAAGGCACACTTCTGACCACGTTATTCACTGTTCAAAACAAACCTTCAGGGCCAGCTAGGTGGCACAGTGGATAGAGCACCAGCCCCTGGAGTCAAGAGGACCCGAGTTCAAATTCAGCATCAGATACTTACTAGCTGTGTGACCCTGGGAAAGTTACTTAAATCCCAATTGCTTCCAAAAAAACAAAAAACAAAAAATCAACTTTCAGTGGCTCCTTATTACTTCTAGGATAAAATACTAACTTCCTACTCAGGCATTTAAGGCCCCATACAGTCTGGTGTCATCTTACCTTACTCACCAGTCTTGTTTCATGTTCCACTTCATGCACTCTACATTCCAGCTAAACTGAACAATTCGCTGTTCCCCCTGAACCTGAAATTGCATCACCCTCCCCTATGCCTGGAAGGAACTTCTTTCAGAATTCTTATTATGTCAGAGCTTACATGGGTCCCAATTAACCAACAAGTAAATTCTGTATTTTCTTAAGTGCCTTTTATATGCCAGAACCTGGCATTACTGGTGATTCAGAGATAAAAAACAAAACTGTCCTTGCCCCTAAGAAGTCTTTGCTCTATAAGGAAAAATAACATATACAAGTATAAGTAAATGCAAAACATGTTGAAAGTAAACACAGGGCAGTAGAAGGAGGATTTTCTTCTGTGGCAAGGAGGTTCAGCAAAGGCCTTATTGAGAAAGGACTTGAATGGCATTTTAAAGGAAACCAGGGGTGCCGAGAGATGAGAGGAGCCATTCCAGGGATTGGGGCCAGCCTCTGCAAAGGTAGAAAGATGGAAAATGGAACGTTATGAAAGAAGAACTGGAAATAGGCCAGTTTGGCCTATGTAGAATATGTGTGAAAGGGAGTAAGTAGTATGTACTAAGTCTGTGAAGGGAGACTGGAAGCAGATTGTGAAGATCTTAGAGGTAGTGGGGAGCCATTGGAGCTTTTTGAGCAGGGGAGTGACGTGAGTTTTTTTGTGCTTTTGGTTTATCACTTTGGCATCTTTGTGAAAGGTGGTAAATCAGAATAATGAGGAGAGACAAGATACGGAGATTAGGGAACTCTTCCATAGTACAGGTGGAAGTAAGTGTCCCAGGCACTATGCTAAGTGCTAGGGATACAAAGAAAAGCAAAAAACAAACAAACAAAAAATCAATC